AACCTAAATATTAACAGACTTTGAGGAGTGAATGAAACTTTTTCCCTAATGAATTTTTATATGGAACCCCAATGCATAAGACATATTAAAGTAGTATTTTATTAGTGTTTATTTATTTAAATACGTTTTTATTGATTTTAGAGAGAGACAGGGAGGTGGGAGAGAGAGGAAAAAAAAAGAGGGAGGGAGAGCTAGAGAGACATGGATATGAGAGAGAAACATCGATTGGCTTCCTCCTACATTCCCCTACTGGGGATGGAGCTGCCAACCTGGGCATGTGCCTTGACCCGAATCCAACTGAGACCTTTTGGTGCACCAGCCAGGGCAGTATTTATTTTTAGAAGTTAAAAAATTTAACGTTAATTTATAAAGTCAATCAAAACAGTAAAGCTTTTAGATGAATTTAAATTTGAAGTAGGGTTTGTGGATGATACAAGTTTATGCGAGTTTTAGCATTCTGTTCTTCTTTGGCTGCTTAGTTGTGAAAATTTGACTTGCAGATAAGGACAGCTTGTCATTCAGACTCCATATATACTTTAGTTGTACTGATAGAGGGCTATAAAAGAGGATTTTTAGTATGGAAATTTTGTTTGAAAGACACCATTATTTAATTATCTTTACTTCATATCACAAATGCAAAAATGGTCAGTTCCTCAAACTTAAGCAATAAAACTTAATATTGTTTCATGTTAGCTCTTTAATTTGGAAACAGCCACCTGGCTGTTCCTCTAGGAGAGGAGAGCATGCAGCAAGTAACTGAGCCTTCTTGGATGGTGTTTAATTGGGAAAGGCATAAGGTGTGTGATTTACAGACCTAATTTTATGTGACTGGACCTGTGGATGCTAAATTAGGGTTGGGAAACACGAGTGCAGAGCTGCAACTTTGCTAATCAATGTCATCTTCATAGGAAATTGGACATTCTTATATTTTAATTTTTTTTGAGTGACAAGAGTAAATTATATTTGATTTCATGTTATGCACCCATATCTTCTTCAGGTCCCTGTTCTCAACTGTTCTTTAAAGTTAGACTTTTCAGTAGCCTAGACATCATTTCAGAGCAGGGGGAAGAAGAGAAATACCCAAAGTTGCCCAGAAAAACCCACAACACAAATGAACTTCCTAACAGGTAACTGAAAAGAAGGTTGCAGATAAAGCTGTCCTCCCATTTGACCTCAGAATGAATTTCAAATTCAGCAATTAACCTCAGAATAATATAAAAATATTCCAGGTCACAAACATACTATTTACATTCGAGAGACATTTAAGCTTTCCTCCATATATACTCTACATCAGTGGTTCTTAAACATTTTGCTCTAAAGGGCACTTTGGCTTTCTTAAATATTGAGGAATATGAATTATATATCAATAAAACTGTTAAAAAAGTTATTGAAGAATTCATAGCTTTTGTTTTGTCGGTTATATTTATCACTATTACAGGATTAGAAATTAAAACTAAGAACTTTTTAAAACATTAATTTAAAAGTAGACCAACTATATGTAATCCAAACAGTATTTTTTTTTTAATGTAAAATATCTTTTTCAGCTAAAGAAATAGAAGTGACGTCGTTTTATATTTAATGTCTTTAATGTCTGGCTTAACAGCTAGTTTCTCATGTGCTTCTCCTCTTAGTCTGTTGCAATGAATAGGTTTGTTTGAACTCTGTGAAGAAAATCTGGCTTTCCTCAGATATTTAGTGGGGGAAGGGGTATTTTAATAGCCATTTAGGTATTTTGTGGCTATTTGTTGATATGCTAAAACTCGACAAGTGACACTTTGACAAGATTTTTTGCGATGTGGAATCTGGAAACCATATCAGTGACTTTTTTTTTTTTTTTTTTTTAAATCAATCCCTATACCATTTTAAAATTGATTTTTGAGAGAGAGGAAAGGAGAGAGATAAAAGTACGCACTCCGGCCGGGGATCTAACCCACAGCCGAGGTATATTCCCGGGCTTAAATCGAACCTACGACCTTCCGTTGCATGGGACTGGTCAACCAACTGAGCCATAATTGGCCAGGGCATCAGTGAACTTTTCTTACACTATTATACTGAGACCATGGTCTTGTCTTTCTCCATTATGATAGTATAGCATCCATGTATTGTTTCCTCTGCCCCTGTATCTTGTGAGTTAGCAAGTGGGTCTTCTCAGTGTTGGCATCCCTTTTGCCTATGGTCAAGTCCATCAACTAGATGTTTTGCTTGGAAGTAACTTAAGAAGGGGCTTGTATATATGAGTGAGTTGGCCCTTAGTTGGTTTCCCAGAGGAAACCAGTTTTGTAAAAATCCCTGTAGTTACTCTAGATGTTGGGGTAGAAAACTCTGGTCTGCCAGATAGTTTCTTAACAAGATCCATGGAAAAGAGGAAAAAGGGGATGTTAGGTTAAAAATATATCATGCCCTTTCCTAAATATTTCATTGGATTCTCAATGTGTGTGTATTAAACTTACAGATTTTTTGTTATGGTGTGTTGTGTGTGGGTGTAGGTGAATGCTTTAGTTTATCATATGAGACATTTTTAGTTTGGTTAGTCTCAGTTGGATAATAATGGTGAAAGGGATCTTTTAGAGTTTGCTACTTATAATGTAGCAGCAGCATCAAGTAGATGCCTGTTAAAAATATAGTGTCTGAACCCTGGCCAGTGTGGCTCAGTTGGTTGAATGTTGTCCCATGCACAGAAAGGTCACTGGTTTGATCCCTGGTTAGGGCACATGTCCAGGTTGGGGGCTTGATCTCTGGTTGGGGTGTGTGTGGGGGAGGCAGCCAATCAATGTTTCTCACATTGATGTTTCTCTAAAATGAAAAAAGAAATGATACAAAAGGTACACACACACACACTGAAAATTTCCTGTGCACTCCCCCACCCCCATACAGTGTTTTGTGTATCCTTTAAAAGAGATTTTACCTTTAGGGGATAGTTGTGTCTAAATTTATCCCCCTCCTCCACTTTGGAATCATACTATACTGTACTTGTGTGTGTACTATACACACACACACACAAATACATACATACACACACACACTTAACTGTGCCTTTGAGATTATACCATAGTAGGTCACTGAGATTTTGCTTTTTTTTTTTTTAATATATCTTTATTGACTTCAGAGAGAGGAAGGGAGAGGGAGAGACAGAGATAGAAACATCAATGATGAGAGAGTTGTTGATTGAGCCCACAACCCGGGCATGTGCCCTGACTGGGAATCGAACCCCGATCGCCTAGATCCTAGGTTGATACTCAACCGCTGAGCCACTCCCAGCCAGGCGAGATTTCGCTCTTTTCCTGAGATTGTTCTCTATAAATTGAGTGTGATTGGTTAACTTAAAGCTGTTAATATATTATTTGCCGTTGGGGTTAATTAGTATGGCTTACGAAAGTATGAGCTTAACAGTTAAAATGTTTTAAAATATATGAAGCAAGTGATAAGGAAAATAGGTAACCATATTACAGTCAAGGGCCTCATGAAACTTGAAATTTCAGGGCTTAATAAAAATTTGTATTTTAGTATAGGAAAAACTACCATAATCACAGTTTATTTCTGCAGAAACAATTTATGAATACATATTCAGATATTCAAGAGTTGATTTGTATGTGAGAATTTTATAGAGATTACAATGTTTTAGAGTTGAAATTTAGAATCTATATATGTGTTGGCTAATAGATATGTAGATGAACTTAAATATGTGAATATCCTTTAAAGGAAAATCTGAGACATTTTTTGTATCTGAAGCATCAAGAACATTTTTGCTAGCTGTTGGGGTGCATTTGATGTTAGACACAAATCATTAAGCTTACTTAAGTAAGTTCAAATTAAGTTTAATTCTCAGGTGTGAGCAAAAAGGTTGAAATGGTATAAGTGAATGTTCTTATTTTTAGAAGGCATGTGCTAAAATATGTTTTCAACTTTTGCAGATGATTGAGAAAAACAAATTACATATAGTCAATAGGATAGAATGTTCATTGTTGATTTCAGATTTAGATACACTTTTCTTTGTCTTTGAAATTTTCTGTAATAAAAATTTGGGATAGGGAAGCATACCTGTTAATACAACTGTTATAGTTTACTGGTACTGAGCAAGGTGCTATAGATAGCTTTTGATGGATTTAGTTTGAAAACATTTTTGCTGTTGACTGTTCTGTAATTGAAGCTACTTCCATGTAGTTTCTCTGTTGGGAAGATTTAAAAAAATTGCCTTTAAAATAAAGGCAAAATTGTGTTACATTTTCTTAAGATGTGAAATTTTGAGTATTTAAAATTATTCAATAACTTTTATTACTAATGCAATTTTTGGTAAATAAAAAAGTTACTAATATGTAATACTTTGTTTAGTAGATAAAAAGTGAAAGGGATTGACTGCATTTTCAATCTTTTGGTAAAAATTAGTTAAAGACATTTTATTTGGACTTTGGTAAAATCAGAGAAACTTTTATTGCACCCAGTTTTCTCTCTTCTTCCTTTATTTGGAAGGGAAAATACAGCAAAATTTTCCAGATTATTTGAGATGGAAAGAGGTAGGATGTGAGACGGCAGTTGATTAGTGAATAGACTAAAGAATGTCAGATCAACTAGTGATTTGCAAATGTGTAAAGATAATCTTTTCATTCTAAATTACTTATAGCTGGAAACTTTATTTTGCTTAGAAACATGAAAGGGATGAAATATGATGACCTGCGTGTATGTGTATGTGTGTGTTTGTGTTTAGTTTGCTTTCTGTAGGGTATAGTATTGGGGAGTTTGTGACTGCCAAAAGTTGCTTAAATTATCCCATACATATCTGGTTTTGAAGTACTAGCTTTTTTTTTTTTTTTCCCCCCTCCTTGATTTGCACTTTATTGTCAACTATATAATTTCAAAGCAGTGTTATTTTCTAATGGAAAATATGGGTAGTATGCTTTGTATGGAGCAGAATATCAAGTGGTAATCTTAATTAAATATTTATAAGATCATATTCATGTTAGTGAATTTCTAGGAATAACACAGCCTTTTTTCTTCTTTTGTAGCATAAGCAGTACTATAATGGATGTAGACAGCACAATTTCCAGTGGGCGTTCAACTCCAGCAATGATGAATGGACAAGGAAGCACTACTTCTTCAAGCAAAAATATTGCCTATAATTGTTGTTGGGACCAGTGCCAGGCTTGCTTCAACTCTAGTCCAGATCTGGCAGATCACATCCGTTCCATACATGTAGATGGTCAGCGAGGAGGGGTTTGTTTTGTCATTTCTTTTTTTTACTCCCTGTTTCATTAATTTTATTAATTTATAATTGCTAGTTAGGCTTTTTTTTCTCTCTCAAAGTAATTTGGGATTGTTTTTATATAGGCTTTATTTTTTCCAAATGTTTTTCCCCCCTTTTATTTACAAATTCCCACGTACTTGATGGAATCAAATTAAATAGAACAGATGATGTGTTGGACTTTAATTTTCTTTTAGGTACATTACTTTGAGGATCTTAGACTTTCTAAAGTATAGTGGGAATATTATAAATGAATACAGTGTATTCCAAAGTTCTGATGTTTTAAGTTGAAGACATTTAGGAATTGGCACTGTTTAGGATCTCTGTTAGGGTGGTTCTAAATTATCCATGATGCAGAAATTAACTGGAGAGACTATTTGACACCAGGATTAGTGTATATAATCCTTTTAAAAAATTTAAAAAATATATGTTTATATTGATTTCAGAGAGAGGAAGGAAGAGGGGGGAGAGAGAGAGAGAGAGAGAAACATCAATGGTGAGAGAGAATCATCAATCGGCTGCTTCCTGCATGCCCCCCTCCCCACTGGGGTACAAGCCTGCAACCCTGGAATCCAACGATGACCTCCAGGTTCATGGTCGATGCTCAACCACAGAGCCACACCGGCCAGGCTACAATCCTGTTAAATGACAATCTGCACTCATTATTTGTGAGTGAAAATTGATGTCTTTCCCAGGTCTTGCCAGAGCTGGCTTAGAGAGAAAGTTCTGATTAGTCAGTATTGACCTATACCCTTTCAGGAATGCATTTAATTGTGTTAGCTCATATAATTATTGGGTAGTGAATAAAGAGCTGAGCAAATTAGGTGAGTCAAAGTGTACTGTACAAAAATATTTATAATATTTCTACTATTCATAATGTTTTTCAGCTTTATCTAGGTTTGTCTTGAATAGTTACCAAGTTTAGTGTGTTTTCCAGGAATTAATGTCATATTGTAAATACAGATAATTTATTAGGCCATACATTTTCCGTCATCTTACCATCACTATTGAGATATACTGATACAGAAATGGTTAAAATCATCAGGGTTTAAGTAAGTACACAACTGTTTCCAAGGCTGTTTTTTTTGTTTGTTTGTTTTTAATCCTCACCTGAGGATACTTTTTCCATTGCTTTTTCAGAGAGTGAAAGGGAGAGAGAGGGGGAGAAAGAAAAACATCGATGTGAGAGAGATACATTGATTGGTTGCCTACCACATGGACCCCAACTGGGCCAGGGATCAAGTCTGCAACCAAGGTACATGGTACCTGCCCTTGGCTGGATCGAACCCGGGACCCTTTAGTACATGGGCCGGCGCTCCAACCACTGAGCAAAACCGGCCAGGGCTCCAAAGTTGTTTGAATAGTTACGTTATATTATTGCTCTTTTACCAAAAAAAAAAAATACAATCTTATAAGCATCTCTAACATATTTACCTATGGTATTGCATTTAAGATTTCTCTTTTAATCCTCACCCAAGGATATTTTTTCCACTGATTTTTTTAGAGTGGGAGGGAGGGAGTCAGGGTGGGGGGAGAGAAACATCGATGTGAGAGAGACACATCAATTGGTTGTCTCCTGTGCCCCAATGGGGGCTGGGGAAGGAACCTGCAACCATCGTATATGCCTTTGACCGGGAATTGAATCACACACCCTTAGGTGGCAGGCTATCTCTCTAACCACCGAGTCATACCGGCCAGAGCACATTTAACTTTTTTTTTTTAAGAAGTATTTGCTGTTGCCCGGCCAGTGTGGCTTAGTGGTTGAGCACTGACCTATGATCCAGGAGATGGTGGTTCGATTCCAGGTGAGGGCACATGCCCAGGTTGTGGGCTCGATCCCCAGTGGGGGACGTGCAGGAGGCAGCAGATCGGTGGCTCTCTCATCATTGATGTTTTTATCTCTCCCCCTCTCCCTTTCTCTCCCTGAAATCAATAAAGATACATTAAAAAAAAAAAGGTATTTGCTGTTGTCACAATATGTTGTAATGTGTCAGCAGTCTTTTGAATACTCAAGCTTTAAGTAAACATTTGTCTTAATAGATTTAATATATATGGTGTCTAGGTAGACACCAGATGCTATATTAATGAGCTGTACTCATCCTATGGTTTTTCACTGTTTAACCATCTCAGTGGTTAGGCAACTTTGGCAGTGGGTTTCCCCCATCTTACCCCCCCCCCATCAGGTTTTTGGTGTGAATTTTCTGAAGTTGGTTTCCTGGTCATTACTGAATTGCCTTTTGTGAGCCAGTGCTTGGTGTCATTTGGTCTATATCACTATGGTAGTCTTTTGAGCCATGGCACTTTGCTTTTTTAGGCACTTGACTTAGCAGCTATACATAGGATCAGGAGCTATGTAGAAGATCCCTGGGTTTTTCTTAGTAAGCGTGGAAGAATTTAACATTTTTAAGTCTTGGATTCTACAAGTTGAGTTGGCACACAGTCTTTATGAGACTGCTTTCAACTCTTTTACAGATTTGTAGAAAAAATGGAGTTTCACACTAAATGTGTCATGTAACCACTGCAACTACATGTACGTTATTGATATTACAAAGCTATACGTGAGTCTTGTTAATTTCTACAATAAGTATAAACTTGTTGAAATGAAAACTCCCATGTCATTTCTTGAACCCTTACTCATAAAATTGCTTTATTACAAATAATAAGATTCTCTGGCTAATTGAAGAGTAGTGCTATTTTGACCAAAGAAAGGAGTCCTCATTTTTGAAGGACATTAATTGCTAAACTACAAATGTATTGGAGAACAGTAGAAAATCCACCCCAATTATTTCTACACACCAGTCATTGGTATATATAAACTAAACTTTCAGAATGAAAGAATGAATGAGAATTTGAAAACCTGATACTATACAAGATAGGAAATCTTGATCTGGTTTTGTGCTTTAAAATAGAGTAGCTGTTGGTTGGAACATCTGTGTGTTTTATAAATAGCCTCTTCGAAATTTGGAACTTAAAAAATTCATTTAACTGTTTTTAAGTGTATATTTCAATGGCATTAGTACATTTACATTGTTGAGCAACCATAACGACTATCCATCTCCAGGACCTTTTCATTATCCAAAACTGAAGTCTGTACCCATTAAACAATAACTTCCTTCCCTTTCCTTCCCTTAGCCCCTGGTAACTGCTCTTCTACTTTCTGCATTATAAAATGGACTATTCTAGATACCTCATATAAATGGAAAACAGCAGATTTTGATGACATAATTATTTTTCTAGATTTTTAATTTCTATTTTCTACCCTAAGTATTAAACTATTATAATGGAATAGAAACAAATGAGGGAAACATTGGTAACTCTAGAGGACTTTGTGCTTCTAATTATTGAAAGATAACAATTCTACTGGAGCAGTAAGGTAGTAAGATTTAAATACTATATTAATTCCTATTTTTTGCCTCACCCCACTTTAATCACCCTGGAAAAAAACAAACCATCATGTAATAGCTTAAAAACAACTTTTCCCCTTTTAAACTATGTTGCTGTGTCACGTGGACTTCCTACTTTTATGCGGAAGCTAGGTGGAGTTAGGTTTTCCTGACCTTTTCATGTATCAAAGTGGTTGGATACTTAATTCTACATTAAAAGTTATACTAGCCTGGCTGGCATGGCTCAGTGGTTGTGATCCAGGAGATGGAGATTCAATTCCCTGTTGGGGCACATGCCTGGACTCGATCCCCAGCGGGGGTGTGCAGGAGGCAGCTGATCAGTGACTCTCATCATTGATGTTTCTCTCTCTCCCTCCCTCTCCTTTCCTCTCTCTCTGAAATCAGTAACGAAAAAATGTTTTTTTAAAGAAATGCCCTAGCTGGTTTTTCTCAGTGGTTAGAGCGTTGGCCTGAGGACTGCAGGGTCTCAGGTTTGATTCTGGTCAAGGGCACATACTTAGGTTGCAGGCTTGCTCACATTGGTGTGGCCCCCACACCCCCTGTCCACTATCTCTGAAAAGCAATGGAAAAAATATCCTCAAGTGAGGATATTAAAAAAAAAAAGTTAGACTAACCATTTAAATACCAAATTATGAATATACCCTACCCTATTAAAAAGAATCATAGGATGATTTTCTGCTATTTAAAAAATGAAAACAGGCAAAAAATTAAACTTTTTTGTTAAGTGTAATAGAATTGTGTTCTTGTGTCCATACTTTCTTGTGGTACTGGATTTCCAAAACTAGACTGAGCTGTTTTACTAACCAAATTTCAAACCCCAGTATCCCTCTTAATATACACCTAAGTTTTGGTAGGTAGGGAACTTCATCTTGTAGGAGGATTTCAGTGGTCCAGTAAGATCCATTAGTCTTCTGTTCTTTCTGTTTTAACTATTTCTTTCTTTAAATACAATTGCCAGAAAGAAATATGTTCATGTTTCTTGATGCAGGAGTTATTTTACATGTTCCATTTTATTAAGTTTACTTTTGAAGGGGAGCGGGCCAGAGTAAGATTGGGGGGTAGGGGGAGGGATAGCATATTTATTCAAAGGTTTGAATGAGGGGAGTTACCTTGATGTTATATAGAATGACATTCGTAGACTCTCAGTGTTAAATCAGATTGCTTCTAGGAAGTGAAATCAATCTTAGGAAGTCCCTTTGCATTGTTGTTGTTTTTAATCCTCATCTGAGGATATGTTTTTGATTTTTAGAGAGAGGAGAAGGGAGAGAGAGGGAGAAACATTGATATGAGAGGGAAACATCGATCGGCTGCCCCTTGACCAGGGACTGAACCTGCAACCCGTGTATGTGCCCTGACTGGGAATTGTACATGCAGCCTTTTGGTGTATGGGATAACACTCCAACCAACTGAGCCACCCAGCCAGGGCTCACTTTGTGTTTTGATTGCCAGTCTGGTATCTCCTGAAGACAACATGAAATTTGTTGTATCTTTTGCAATACATGAAAACTATATTAGGTTTTTAATTAAATATTTTTATCCTCTGTTTTATTACATATCTTTTAACAGAGAAAATTGGAAATGTTAATACATTTACTGTGGCTAAAAATAATGATACAAAATTATAGCTATCATTTTAGACTGATTGGAGACAAAATAATTAGATATAAAAATATGCTTCTCTTTTTTGTATGTTCACATTTTGTAATAAAATGAATTTTTTCTTCCGAGAAATATTAGAACTTAAAGGAACCATAAAATCATCCATCTAATCCCTTCCTGATTTTAGATAGTATGTCTCTTTGTATGTGTGAAATCTTTTTTAGCATGTTTTACTGACAGAGGACTCTAATTCCTTAGTAAAACTAGCCCCCCTGCCCCTTTGGACATGTAAAATATTCTGCTTGCTGGCTCTGTATTTAGAATATATTTGCCTGGTTTTAATTTACTTTACTACTAATAATCACTGAAGTTTTCCTTATGCATACTTAGACTCTGTCAGGTTGCATTGTCCTCTTAGGTAAAGCTCACCTATTCTGACAGTAGTGAGTCAAGTTTTCTAGAGGAGTTATCAACAGGAAACCTCCCTGTAACACTGAAATTGTTGACCTGTACATCTTATAGGTTAGGTCATTGTAAATTTGAAGATTTTTTGGTAGTCCAAAAATATATATATGTGTGTGTGTGTGTGTGTGTGTGTATGTATTTAAATATATCTTTAGTGACTTCAGAGAGAGGAAGGGAGAGGGGGAGAGAGAGAAACATCAATGATGGGAGAGTCATTGATTGGCTGCCTCCTTCACGCCCCCAGCCGGGGATCAAGCCCGCAACCCAGGCATGTGCCCTGACTGCCATCTCTTGGATCCTAGGTCGATGCTCAACCGCTAAGCCATGCCTGGCTGGGCTATATGTATATTTTTAAGTAATGTTTTTATTAATTTCAGAGAGGAAGGGAGAGGGAGAGGGAGATTGAAACATTAGTGATGAAACAGAGTCATTGATCGGCTGCCTCCTACTGGGGATTGAGCCTGCATCCTGGGCATGGGCCCCGACCAGGTTTCGAACCTCCATCTTGTGGATCCATAGGTTGATGCTCAACCACTGAGCCAAACTGGCTGGGCTGAAAATATTCTTTTAATGGGTATGTACCTTTTTTTCTTGGACAGTGGCAGAAAAATCTGGCGGCAGCTATTTTGAGAAGGGACCCCCAATGTCTAATATAAACAATTTTTTTGTTAACCAGTCTTTCTTAGAGAATATACATTATCTTAGATTTTTACTGTGTTTTGGAGTTATCAAATGTGTGTTCATAGTGTCTATTTGATGAAGAAGGAAATAAGAGACTTAGATAAGTGATTCTCCCAAGATTACGTAGCTGTGAAGTGTGAAAGCTGGGTAGAATTTAGTCATTTACTTTTGTTCTTTCTATTTCTGTTACATCTAATACAACCTAATATAATATAAATCTGTCTATTGTGACAGCCTGGAGTATGAATTTCTGTGCCTCAGTGTTCTGATTAATATAGCTAAATCTTAATTCATTTTATGATAGTACAGAGGAACCATAAGAGATTTTAGTTTTGAAATTTATTTCATATTTGGGTTTAATTTCTATGGTGTTTGGTTTTCAGAGTTAATTTATGCAAGGAGAAAGTTTCCAAAAATAGGGTATAAAAATGTTTTTCACATACTGGCATCAGAAAAGGACTGAGGTTTGAATAAAGATCCTTTTGTCAGATTTTAGACTACCTGTTTTATCAAAGGGTTTTTCTAATATAAATTAGGAAAGGAAATTTAGCTTTTAAAAATTCTGGGGTTTCTGTGGATCCTTGATGTGGATTTTTAATGCCATTTTGTGTATCAAGACTATCCTTGTCCAAGTTTATTGCTTCCTCCTCCTTGCCCCCTAATTATTTTTCAAATATTTCACAAGTGTTTCGTCCAAATATGGCTAAACATAGTTAGCTTTGGTCTCTTTACACTTATTTCATTTCCTAAAATATTCACTAGGTTGAAGGTTATGGTTTTTCTTTGAACCTGAAGGTGTTGCCTTAACAGTGTTACTAGACGTTATTCCATCTAGAGTCTAGACCATACCTACTCACAGTTAAGGCTATTATCTGATGGAATTACAGGATCTGCCATTGCCTCCATACATATGTTTATTCATAGGAAAAAAAATTAGAAGTTAGAGATTTGTGGTTTCCCTCAAATGCGGTGGTTGGGTAATATTAGGTTAGGGCAGTGTTTGAGTATTTCTCTGATTTTTTTTTTTTGAGACTAATTTAGCACAGGGGTCACTTAAGAGTTACATCAACAGAATTCTTCACTGTTAAACATAAATTATGTTAATTTTGTACTCAAGCACTTTTTTTAAGACATTTCTGTTTTGGGGGAGTATGATTTGTGAGAATTTTAAACCAAACTTTGATTCCTGTTTATTACTTGGATTAAAAATTTAAGACTCTGAGAGTCTAGTAAGTCAAGTTAGGAAATTGATAAATGGCACTGATTATCTGCATGTCATTATCAAATCTTATTGAACTAGTTTCCATAACATATAGGTGTAGCTTTACAATTTTTTTCTTTTTTCTGAATTCATTTAAAAAGTAGCTTTTAATTTTAGGAACTTCAGGAATCATTTTATAAATGTATACTAGGTCAGGAATTTTAACTATGAAGGAGGAAATGTTAATGACTTTTATATCTGCTTAACTTAAAGAAATTAGCAAATCTTTTGTGGAATCAGGATATACCATATCTCTACCTAAACAGTCACATCAGACAGCATTAGCAGTGTTGCCTGGTTAGATCTATATGATGTAAAATGATTTTAGTTTTGAGTAAAAATGGATCTCAGTTATTTTAGATTGTTGATTTTTCTAGGCTTTAATAAAACAATTTATTTTAAATTGAGTTTAATGATTGTTTCCTCAGTTCTGTGTGTCTCTTCTTTCTGTTCTATATGAAGTACATTCTAGTCTTCAAAGTGTGGCTCTCTTTATAATTGTTCTTACCTCAGAAAAGAACGGATCCTAGAAATGGTACTTTGAAGGTGGTGATGACAGTAGATTCATATTCTTTTGCTGATGTTAGGGATCCGTTTTAAGTCATTTGATGGAAATATAGTCAAGTAGAAGATTGGTATCTCACTAGTAGGAAAATGATAAAGATTAGATGGTTAGTTGACAGATTTGTGTTTTTCCAAACCCAGTCAAGAATGTAGGTTACTATGATGATGGAGAAGCTCATGCCCATTGCTTTTGCAACTATATAAGTTTGACATTCTGCGCTAGATTTTGCTTCCTCTTCAAGATAATTGAAAATCATTTTTAATGAATAGAACAATGTAAGAATAAGTAGTGTGCATGTGAGAAGAGGAATTGGGGAGCAGGGAATTTGTAATTTGATAGTTTAATTGTATTACTCATTCTTTGAAGATGAAACTATCAGCCACTAATTAACATTTGACTTTTGATTTATTTTCATTGTTTATACCTTTATGTTTTCTTTTTTTGTTTTGTTTTGTTAATTCTCACCCAAGGATATTTTTTCCTTTGATTTTTAGAGAGAGTGGAAGGAAGGCAGGGAAGGGGGGAGAAAGAGACAGAGAAAAACAGAGAAACATTGATGTGAGAGAGAGGCGTCGATTGGTTGCTTCCTGCACCCCCCCCCCGAGCCTGGGATGGAACCTGCAAACCAGATATGTGCCTTTGAATGGGAATCAAGCCGGGGCCCCTTAGGTGTGTGGGCCAGTGCTCTAACCATTGAGCAACAGTGTCCAGGGCTATGTTCTCTCTTTTTTTAAAAATTTATCTTTATTGTTAAAAGTATTATAGATGTCCCCTTCCCCGCCCCATTGATCCCCTCCACCCTGCATTTTCCCCACCCCAGGCCTTTGCCATACTATTGTCTTGTGTCCTTGGGTTGTGCATACATGCATACAAGTTCTTTGATTAATCTCTTCCTACCCACTCCCCCACCCTGGCCTTCCCACTGAGATTCCTCAGTCTGTTCCATGGTAATTACAATTAATACATGCTTGTTTCCTCATACAGTAAATACAGAATGGTTCATAGACCTAGTTCCTAGGGATGTGTTGTTAATAATTTGTATGTTTCCTTCTGAAGGGTACTTTGGCATTGGTGTATTAGTTCCTTATTGAGGGAACAGACAGCAGCCCTAAGGGGGAAGGAAGTGTTAAAACTGCTTCTCATGTGCAAGTTCAGAAAGTTTAACATTAAGCATTTAATTGGCTCTTTTTGTTAATTGATGGTTTGCAGCATGCTCATTTGAGCTTAGAAGGAATAAAACTGTTGAAATAAGTACTGAAAATTATTATGGCTCTTCTTTTAATAGGTATTTGTTTGCTTATGGAAAGGCTGTAAAGTATATAACACTCCGTCAACCAGTCAGAGTTGGTTACAGAGGCATATGCTGACACACAGTGGAGACAAACCTTTCAAGGTAAGTAAATGTGAGTTTTATTTTTTTTTAATTTCAACTTAAATTGACAAGATTTTTTTCTTTTTAATATATCTTTATTGATTTCGGGGGAGGAAGGGAGAGGGACAGAGAGAGAGAGAAACATTGATGATTAGAGAGTCATTGATTGACTGCCTCCTGCACACCCCCCCTACTAGGGGTCAAGCCCGCAACCAGTATGTGCCCTGACCGGAAATCAAACTGCCATCTCCTGGAGCATAGGTCGATGCTCAACTGCTGAGCCACGCTGGCTGAGTGACAAGATTCTTAATGGGCATACTTTTGCTCTTAAAAATTTGAAAAGAACTACTTGTTTTAACATGCTAGTAGATGCATGGAATTTTAAAAAATAATGGAGGAAAGATGATTTATTCCAATTTTTAAAATTTGGAGAACAGAAAAAACAGGGTAGGGTCTTGAAAATAGTGGACAGATGAATGACTTGAATGCGTATCTTTAAAGTTGGTTGGTTGGTATTAATATCTTGTGCTCTATTTTCTCACTGTCGATAGTTTTCAGCCTTTTTATTTTTATTTTTTATAAAGTTGAATTTATTTTTTTAATATATCTTTATTGATTTCAGAAAGAGGAAGGGAGAGGTAGAGAGAGAGATAGAAACATCAATGATGAGAGAGTCATTGATCGGCTGCAGCCAGCAACCCGGCCATGTGCCCTGACCGGGAATCGAACCCCGATCTCCTGGATCCTAGGTCAATGCTCAACCACTGAGCCATGCTCGGCTGGGCTATTTTTATTTTTTTTAATGCGTGTATTTTTCAAGAGATAACATGAAACCAGTGCATTTTATTTTTTTGATTTATAAAAATATTACAGATGTCCCTTTTTCTCCATGTTGAGCCAGTCCACCCTGCCCCACCCCCCTCAGCCTTTTTATTAGCAAACAGTGATTATTGTATGAAAATTGTAATTGTAGAACATTAAGATACTTGATTCCTTTCACTCAATTTTGAGGTCTTGTGCAGAGCTTAGTTGTAAATTACTGTGTCCAATAGGTGTATTTTCTGAAATCTGTATAAAGAGCAAATTTTTAATAAAAACCATTTTTCCGTTTATCTTAATTAAAAATTAAAATATTTTGGTTTGTAATTATGGAAAGCATATACCATAGAGACTGAAAGTTTGTGTTTGAAGAAGTTTAATAGTTATTAAACCCATAATATCTCTTGGTATATAAATACTGTGCCAGAAACTTCCCTTGGGTTTCATTAGGTAGAAGATAATTCTTGTGGAGTTGCCTTTTTTTTTTTTTAAATATATCTTGATTGATTTCAGATTGAGGAAAGGAGAAGGCGAGAGAGAGAGAGAAACATCAATGATGAGTCATTGTTCAGCTGCCTGCTGCACGCCCCCACTGGGGATCGAGCCCACAACCCGGGCATGTGCCCTGAATGGGAATCCAGCTTGTGACCTTTTGGTTCATGGGATCACTGCTCAACCACCGAGCCACTTAATTTTTTTTTTTAAAAGACAATCTTTAACAAGTTTTAAGAGTGTATATAAAAATAATTTACATTGCAAATCTTGTTCCCTTTCTTGTTCCCTTATTCCTTCTCCCCCAGAATAACTCCCATTTGTTTCTAGTGAATTCTTCGAGCATTAATATATGAAACTAACGCAGATAAATATGTAATCTCATTCTTCTTTCTTTCTTACACAGTCTAGTAAACTATACTATCTATATTTTTTTAAATAAGCTTTTTATTTTAAAGCAGTTTTAAATTTACAGAAATACTACAAAGATTATAGAGTTTTTATATATATCCTACACCAAGTTTCCCCCACTATTAACATCTTTATTGTCTGTATGTGTACCTTGCTTTTTTTAAAAACATACTTTATACTAGAGCTCTTTCCATATTTGTTCATAGAGAATATCCTCTTTTTATTTTTTTAACAGTTTCATAGTATTTCATTGTGTGGCTGTAGCAGTTTATTTAACCAAACTTGTATAGACATATGGGTTGTTTCTAATCTTTGCTATTACAAATAGTGCTACAGTGATGAATCTTTGAACATATGTCATTTTGTACCTGTATGCTTATATGTGTAGGAAAAATTTCCCAAAACGATATGAGTGGGTGTATCAAAAGCTATATAAGCATTGGTAATTTTGATCAGTATTGCCAAATTGCCTTCCTTGGGAGTTATGCCCTCATCAGCAATGTTAGAGCGACTGCCTTCTACACAGCCTTCCTAATAGGGTGCTGTCAAACTTTTGGATTTTTGCCAATGTAGTAAATGAAAAATTGCATCCTAATGTAGTTTAATATGCTTTTCTTTGTTTATGAGTGATGTTGGGCATCTTTTCATATGTTTAACCCTTTCGATTTCTTTTCCTTTATTTTTTAAAGAATAAATGGTCTAATTGAGCTTTTTGTTGGCCTGTGGGTCCTATACCTTTAATATCCTAGTCTTTCCTGTAGTCATACTACAGTTCCTGGCCCTGGCATTTACTAGAAATGTGTAACCTGGGACAGGTTTTTAAACTTGTTGTCTAATGTGTAGCTGGTAATAATATTGACCTCAGAGTTGTACAGTATGGATCCAGTAAATGGAAGAGGTTATCATTGAAATAAAAGAATAATTTACTTTCTCATCGTGTGTATTTTCATGTATTTTTATTTAAGGCAGCAATTCTGTTGCTGGTTGATTATGATGTGCAGGTTATTTTCAAAGCTTGTACAAATGGTGTTTTCCCTCAGATCTTTTTTTTAAAAAATAAGTCTTTATTAATTTCAGAGAGAGGAAGGGAAAGGGACAGAGAGAGATAGAAACACCAATGATGAGAGAGTCATTGATCAGCTGCCTCCTGCATGCCCCCTACTGGGGATCAAGCCTGAAACCCGGGCATGTGCCCTGACCTGGAATCGAACCTCGATCTTCTGGATCATAGGTCAATGCTCAACCTCTGAGCCACGCCCGGCCCGGCTTTCCCCAAATCTTTTTAGAAACTGTAAATGATTCCCATTGGAGAGGGGGAAAGAAATTATCTTTAAAAGACAAAAATTAAGGGGTATGATGTAGCAAGGCATTGTTCTGTAAGTTATAGAAATCATTTAAATCAAGAAAACATTTATTGATGTCTTCGGTACATGCCAATATGGTAGGCATTTTGGAAGCAAGGTACATAAGAAAGGCAGTCCTCTGCTCTTCAGGGAACTTACATTCTATAGGTTTATACAAATCTAAATAGATTAAAGTAATGAAATGTGTTAAGTGTTTTAATGGTGACCTGTGATAGGATCTCCGGAAACATGGATTAGAGGTCAGTTAAATGTGCAACTGAAAATCCGAGCATTACTGTTGACTCCCCCAAAACCTAACTGCAGTCAGCCTTCAGTTTCCAAGAGGGATTGGTTCTAGAACCCCCAAGGATACCAAAGTCCGAGGATGCTCCAGTCCCTTATAAACTGGTGTAGAGCAGTGCTTACAGTCAGCCCCACCCTACACATTTACATTTCGTGGATTTCCAACCGTGGATCAAAAACACTACTTTCAGTTTGCAGTTTGGTTGAATTGCAGTTGCAAAACCCACGGATATGGAGGGCCAACTGTATTTATTGAAAAAAATCTGTGTATAAGTGGACCCACACAGTTCATACCCCATTTTTCAAGGGTCATTCTTTTGCATAATAGGAGCTGGGAGGGAGTAATAGAAGTTGAGTTAGGTAGTTGACTCAAGATAGAAAAAGTGATGTGGTTTTTGAGGCAAATCTCTTATTTTTTGAAAAATTTTTTAGTTACATAGTATATAACAGTGTCTAATTGCTATGTAGTATTAGATTTACAAATAAATCATATTTTATCCATTCTAATGCTGATGGGCATTTGGGTTGTCTCCAATCTTTGGGGACTATTAATCAGCTGCATATTTTCCTACGTGTCTTTTGATTGCACACATGGATTCATTTCTCTGGGCTGAATACTTATAAGTGGAATTGCTGAGTCCTAGAATAGGGCATTTTTAGCTTTTAAAAACTGCCAGACTCATCTTCAAATTGGTCATATTATTTTAATTAATTCCCACCAGCAGCAAGTGAGAGTATTAGTTGCTCTATATCTTGGTATTATCAGATTTTTAAATTTTAGCCATTCTAGTTATTGTGTAATGTTGCCTCATCCTGTTTTTTTTAATTTTTTTATTTCTCTGGTGAATAATAATTCTGAGCACATTTTCATGTATTTATGGCTATATGGATTTCCTATTTTGGTGAAGTATCTAAGCTTGTATTTTATTAAATGGTTTGTCTTATGATTATTTAAAATATTTTATGTATTTTGGAAATAAGTCCCTTGTCAATTATACGTATTGCAAATACATTTTTAAAAATTTATTTTGAGAGTACATTTATTAGAACTGGGGACAGTGAAATAAGGAAGGGCCTAGGATAGGAGGATAGTAGAAGCAACAGGAGAGAGACTGGATGGGGCTGCTATCAGCTCACTGGAGAGTCAGAGAAAAGGGGGCCTTGGGGATAGGTTCAGGGGGTTACTAGCCTGTAACAAGCTGCCACTGCCCATTGCTCCCCTGGCGGCAAGTCTCGTGGGGTCCCTTAGGGTTTAGGAGATGCATGCCTGTAGGAGAAGGGGAAGGGAATGGCATGGGCAGGCGTGCTTCCTGCAGGGAGTGTGTGCTAGGACCTTTGTTTTAAGGGGTTTTAAAGGTTTCAGCAAATGTTTTTTATAATATTTATCACTGATAATTAAAATGCAAAGATTATTCCTAGATAAGCCCCTTCACCGCACCCTGTGTTCATGTATATACACCTCTGTTTTGTATGTATATTTAGAGTTTGTGGGAAAGGAAATTGCTGTCATTTTGTTAAACATAGTAAGACATAATAATTAAAGGTTTGGACACATTACATGTGTTTATAGTACTAGGATTTTGGGATTCTTTATTATCTTGGCCCTTTCTTTTTGTAACTGTGATTTTGATTTTTTTATTTTAAAAAAGAATA